GTTAATCACTACTTCATTTGGATGATTTCTGGTGTAAAAAAAAAAAAAAAGAAAAAAGCACAAACCTGGTGTAATTATATCACTCCTTTATGTGTCTCCTTTCTGCTGCACTCTGCATATTCCTGAACCCTGCACTGTTTAAAAAAGATAATGGTTTCACATGAAATCAGGATCATACCTAATTTTTAAATGTTTGGGGTTTGTTTATTTAGGTTTATTGGTTTTTTTTTAATGGAACTTTTTATAATAGACCCATAAATGACTGTGCTTTTTAAACTGGAATGACCTCCTTCGTATATTGTGGCTGTTAGTGCCAAATCCATAGAAAGAAACGTTGAGTTTTTTTTACTTTGCACTAAATAGTTTTCAAATGCAGCACTGCAAAACTTTTTGCAAACTGCAGCAGAATTAAACTTTCAACCAAAAAGGAGGGATCAATTTTTTTCTTTCTGGGCAAAATGCACATTTTAGTAAAGTGTTTATTAAAGGGTTTTAAAGAATGATACAGTCTATCACAGATGATAAATGTCTTGCACATTTATTTTGTGATAACTAATAAGGCTTAGCTAAGTGGAAAAGCCTGAGAAGTCACTTTGGAACTGAATTGCCTCAGTTATATTTTGTCTAAGTAAGGTTTTGATCTAAAGAAGAGGTCACGTGTACATGTTAAGAAAGTTTGCAAGTTTCTTCATAAATGCAATCTGTTTGTGTTTTAGATTACTTAGTCAATGCACTCATTGCTTCATTGTCTCCAAACTGAAAGCTTCACTAAATGGTAGATTTTACTGTTAAAGACCCTACAATAAGATTGTTTTATCTGTACATTTTTTCATATATTTAACTGTATAAAAAATGTTCATTTTACACAATATTTAATTAAAGTATTTCTTGTCTGTGAATTTCATTTTTAGTAATTTTATCTGGTTTGATTATTAAAAAAAACCTGACAAAACACAAAACAAAAAAGCCACACTGGGGGTTTCATTTCTAAATGTCAGCAGTCATATTTATGTCTTGGTTAAGCAGAACATAATCCACGAGGTGGGCTTGTCAGGGTTGGAAAGTCGCCGGCTGGCCAGCCAGGAGAGCCTGTGCTCCGGAGAGCGGACAGAGGAGCGGAGTCAAGAAGTGGGACTTCTGTGCTACGGTCTGGCAGTGACAGTTGTTCCTCAGCCTTGGTGACGTATTTAACCAAACCTGTGCCTCAGGTACCCTCTTTGCAAAAAAAAAGATAAGAGTAGAGCAAACTTTTTCTATTTTTCTGTGGTGCTGGAAAACCCTGTGAGGGGAAAAGTGATCGTAAGCACACCATGACCCCGCGTTTCCCATGCAGGGCTGTGGCACTGACGGTGAGCATGCTCATCTTTTAAGTGCTGTTAAGAAAGCAGATGTTTTTGCTGACTGTAATACTGAACACAAATAGTTTATCCTTTGGATTGTAGTATATGCAGTGTACGTGAAATATGAATATAAAGAGTTAGGCATGATTCAAAGCCTCCTAGTCAGAGAGTATTTTTATGGGAGACGATTATAATGCTAAACCTGAGCTACAGGTCTGTGTTCGCTAGCCCACGTGCCCTGCGTCTACCTGCATAGCTCAGTGTGCCCGTAGCCACCAGACGAGAGGGTATTTCTACAGCAACAGAAAAATGGCTATCTATCTGAACAACAGAAATGCATAGCCAGACCAGTGAAAGTATTTGCCTGTTAGTTCTGGGGGTTTTATTCCGTCGTTATCAGAGGGCGTTCAAGAGGGCATTGCTAAATTCTGAGCTCAATGGTAATTATATGTATGCGTGTGTGAAATTTAGCCTACCTAATTCTCTCCTTAGTTTCTGTACGTATTGGTAGTTAGATGATGAGGGATAACAACTACAGCTTACTTTATTTACAATTTACAAAGAAGGAAAAGCAGGTCATTTAACTACATTTTTTTTGTCCTCCAATATTTCCACAGCTTTTATGTTTGATGAAAATATACGTTACAAATACAAAGGACTTCTGATTACTCTTATTTTGCATTGGCAATCATTTTGCTCTAAGTATGTGTATCATGCTTAAATACTAGCATCAGCAGATGCAGTCTACTGAAAATAAGATGGTTTATAGGGATGAAGATCTGCACGATGGCTACTGGCACTATTCCTTTTGGATTTATTTCAAAGGTTTGAATAATGAGTAGCCAAATGGTTCATCTAACAGTCTATGCAAAGAAAATACAAAAGAAAAAAAAAAAGCACATACATTTGGTGCTGTGAATGACAAGTCCTGGAGCGATATCCCACCTATGACACATCTGTATCTGTAACTTGGTAATAGCCCCGATGCGAAAATATGTTGTGTCAGCCGACACTGAATTTAGGAATACAAATATAAAAATTCCTTAATCAAAATGAAGGACTAGAGTCCCTAAAAGTATATGGCAATTATGGCAGAGCAGCTTTTTAAAGTCTTTCAAGCTTTTAAAGATTATTCAAAGCACTTGAAATAGGCTTCAATC